GGAGGCCCCTGTGGAGAAGAAGGACATTGGGTGAGGGCACCGCGTGGCAGAGTCGGCCCCAAAACCCAACGCGTTTGCGCAGGGCTCACGCGGCAGCGGCCGTGCACCCTGTATCCCGCCAGCCGTGCTCCATCCCATCCCACATCCCGCACATCCTGCATCCCGCACTCACCGGCGGCCCCGGGAAGCCAGGCTGTCCCTGGAAGCCCTGCAAGGAGAGGAGAGGGACAGCGTCGGGGTGGCCGCAGAGCCGCATTCGTGCCTGCCCGGTGGCCCCGCGCAGGGTCCCCACGCCCGGGGGACACTCACCTGGTCGCCCTTCTCGCCGGCACCGCCCGGGAGGCCCCGCTCGCCCCTCGGCCCCTGGGGGGCAGAATCGGCAGCTGAGCGGGCAAGGGGGGCACCGGGCCCCTCAAGCTTCCCCCCTGCCACCCAGGCGCATCCCGGGACCTACCGCTGGTCCCGTGGGACCGGGGATGCCGTCCAAGCCGGGGGGACCCTGGGCAGGGAGAGCAGAGCAGGGATCAGGTGGCTGTGGGGACAGGGGGGACGTGGCTGCCCCCTGCGCCCCAAAACCCCACTCGGTCGTGGGTCACTCACCGGCTCCCCTTTTTCCCCTGGGGGGCCCATGTAGCCTCGCTCGCCCTTGCTGCCCTGCAGGAGGAAACGGGTGAAGGGACCGCGTGGGGGACACCGAGGATGGACGCGGCAGGGGGAACATGTGGGATGCGTGGAGCATGGAGGGGACATCAGGGGACAGATGGGATGAAGGGCACAGGGGATGCAGGGGGCATTGGGGGCAGATGGGAGTGGAATGGGGGTCACCAGGGGACTGAGGAGGAAAGGATGGAGCAGAGGGAACGGATGGGACACCAGGAGATGGATGGGGCACAGGGGACAGCCAGGTCCTGGCTGCGCCATCTGGCTCCTGGGCCGGGATGCGGCACTCCAGGATCCCGTTCCCGGCAGGGACGCGTGTACTCACGGGAAGGCCGGGAGGGCCCGTGGCGCCGGGATACCCAGGCTGCCCTGGCGGTCCCTGCGGAGGAGGAGGAAGAGGAGGAGGATGAAGGCGCGGAGCTGCCCGGGCCGGCGCCCGGAGCCCGTGCGGGCTGCGCTCCCACTCACCGGCTCCCCTTTGGCTCCAGCGAGTCCAGCGGGGCCGCGCTCGCCCTGGAGTCCCTTGGGAGAGAGGAGGTGGATGCAGGGGGGCCAGGAGGGCCCCCAGCCCAGCCTGCACCCACCAGGGCAGGGCAGGGGCTGCGGGACAGGGCACGGTCCCTCCTGTCACCGTCGTCACCCTGCGAACGAGCCCTCGGGGGCTCGGGGCAGCCGTCCCCAAACGTGCTTGGGGCAGCGCTCCCTGAATACGCTGCACAGGGATGAGGCCGCTCGGCTCGCTGCGGCGTGGGATGCACCGGGATTGCACCGGCGTTGCCCCGGGATTGCACGGGATCACACCCGGATTGCACCGGCTCGCACCAGGATCACACCGTGAAGGAGCCGGGAGCCTCCGAGTGCTTGGACGGGCATCGGAACAGTGACACTGGGGGCAGGTTAGTGGGGGTTACGGGGGCTGATGGAGTGACGCCGGACAGGACACGCTGCCGCACACAGACCGTGATGTTACGGTGCCGTTAGCGCATGGGGAGCAGGACATGGGAGCGGGACACGGCCAGCAAGGGCAGGGGCCGCCTCTCCCTGCCTCCGCGCTGCCCCACTGCAGGTGGAAACAGCAGGATGAAGATGAGGATGAAGATGATGATGGATTGGGGGTAACCCCAGATGAGGCTGCGGGAATGAGGAAGATGAACCCAGGCAGCTCCAGCTCCATGGGGAGATCGTGGGCCTCCTTCCATCCAGGAGCCCGGGAGCGGACGGGATGGGGACCAGGCAGCTGGAGCAGCGCCAGGTGTCACGGAGCCAACAGGTCCCTGCGGAGCCGGTCTCAAGGACGGCCACTGCCCCCAGCGCAAAAGGGAGGCAAAAGGATGTGACGCAGGAGCCTCCCGGCACCAGGAATGACAGTCCCCAGCTCAGGAAGGCCATTCCCAACTCTGGGAAGCCAGGCCCATCCAAGAGCCCCTGCATGGAGCTGGAGGAGCTGGAGAGCGTGAGATGGGCATGTGGTGGTGGCAGAGGAGGGGAGGGGACAGGCGGGGGGACCGGCTGTGCCGGTGCCCGCAGGACGCCGAGGACACAGCCAAACCAAGCGGCAGCGACAGACGGCACAGAGCAGAGCCGTGCTGGTCCTTACGGGCAGTCCGGGAGCGCCCGGCGTTCCGGGAAAGCCTGGGGGGCCCTGAGGGGAGAAACAGGCAGGTCACGGGCCGGAGCCGCCGCGGGAGCCGGGCGGCCGCTCCCGGCCCGG